CCAGGCTGGGGATTCGAACCCACCACCTTAGGTGTATGTGGCTGGTGCCTTAGCCGCTTGAGCCACAGGCGCCGAGCCGGAAAGTAGAATTTTTAATTTTATTTACATACACTGCACACACATGTATTTGGACCCTTAAAAGAAATTATAGGTTTAATTATAATGAGTACTCCTAAATTGATAAAAGACAATCCATACTTTTCGTATCACATTAGTAATTGAAATTAACTTTAAGTATGTATTAGCAGGGTCCCTCTAAAAAAACTAAAGGAAATTAGTCCCCAGGCTCCTAAGAATAATCATTCAAAATCTGAATAGGATTGCTACCCAAAGCTATTATGCAGCTAGCTATCCTGGTCATTTTATAAATGAGATGTTTATGAAAGATCTTTATTTTTTTAAATATCTCTTTAATTTGCCTCATTTCACCTAAACTATTGTTCTATATGCCTCCCAAATAAAAGTAAAACAGGGTTTTTCACCACACAGGAATAAAAGGTAAACACCATGCTTGCCTTCATGAATGTGGAAGGTTCCCTGTTTCCTGGAGTCCTGGAATCCTTGATTCAGTCCTCTGCCAGGAGAAAGCAGCCCCTTGCTCAAGGCACAAACCCTATAAAAGATAAAACAGTCTTGTGATACCTCATCATAACTTTGACTCAAACCATACAAAAGCAATTTATGTAACCAAAATGTTTGTACCCCCATAATATTCTGAGATTTTTTTTATAAAAGAAAGATAAAACACATTCAGAGTAGGTTCCATGGCTTCGTTCGTGGCAACCCCAAAGACCTACCCTCCCTCCCAGAGTGTTTGGCCATACCATAGTATATATTGTTTTGTAGGCGTCTCTGTAACCATTTCACAAGTGTATTTATATTTACACATGAGGCCACTCCATAAATCATCTCTCTAGAATAAATATTTCTTGAGAGCAGAAACCAATTACATAATTATCTACAAAATAAATAAAAGACATCAACCAGGTTTAATAGATTTATTCTAGCTCTATTTAATTAGCTTCAGAAGCCCAGAATCTATCTGGTAAACAACTGAGCAAATTAACTATGAACATTTATTTTGTTCTTTATTATCACATAATATTTCCTCAATAAATAAGATTAACCCAAATCCACTTTGAACACTGAATTAGCCCTTTCCAGACTCAAAGAAAGTTATTTATTGGACTTGCACAAAAATTTTCCAGATCCCCAAAGGAATAAAATAAAAGCTATTTACCCAAATGTGCCTAATCTATTGTCCCCAAATAAGTTGATATTGGTTCACTAAGTGATGACTCCTAACCACACAATATTGCATTAGGGGCAACACATATATGATATTAACAAGCTAATATATGATAGCACGGTTGAAGAAGGAAAAGCATTGAAAAGAACCCCAGATACGGGGTGGCACCTGTGGCTCAAAGGAGTAAGGGGCTAGCCCCATATGCCGAAGGTGGTGGGTTCAGACCCAGCCCTGGCCAAAAACTGCAAAAAAAAAAAAAAAAAAAGAACCCCAGATACTATGACTCATTCTAGCTCAAATTACCAGTAAATTCTAACTAATTCCAACTAGTAAACTAACCCCCAAAAAGTATATTATTAGTTTTCTATAAAGTCCAAGCTCCTGTGGATTTCTCCTCTAATGACGGCATCCAGAGAAAGTCTCTGAATATAAATATTTTGTAAAATCTACATGTAGTTTTCACATTTACGTGCTGCTAAAACAAATCCTTGTCCTTTTGCCAAGTTACCTAATCTAATACCAAAGAATATATAAATATGAGTACATTCTTGCTGGCTAATTTAACACTTTAGTCATCCAGTCATTACATGGGCTGCAATATAATTCTTTTTTTTTTTTTT